TTTTACTTGCTACTACTCCATTAGTACTTAAATTAAAACTACAAGAAATGTGTTTGGTGGGATCCTTGCAACCAATTACCACAATGATTGTTATTTGTGTAAATACATTACTGCAGCAAGAACCCTGTCTGACTGGGCTGCAGAATTGGCTCAGCATTGACATCCATACAGTTAGACAATAAATCCTTCTTCTGCAGGATGTAAGAAAAAGCCCTCTGAAAAATAGAAGTGCTCTTTTGCATCTCCAGTACATCTGTTTGTCAGACAGTACTCTGCAGGGGAGACACTTCCATCTATTGGCACACTGTAAATAATAAATACAAATAACAATAAGGCAGTACATTATCACATTTAACTAACAAATAAACAAAATAGAAGGCAACACTCACTGACCATTGAGAGATCTGTAAAGACTACATTTCATGCTAGATAGATCCTAGAGGAATGAGCAAAAGAAGATGAGAATACTCTAAAAAATCTGGTGAAATGTTGTTTGTTATAAATCCTGGGCTAAGGATTCAGCTTTGGTCAGATTCGAAAGCAGTGATTGAAAATAAAAAGTGGGGATATTTGTGAGCTGTTTAATACAATAATCTGAAGCCATGTTAAATTTAAATGACCTGTTCCACATGGAGGTTGCACCCTGAATTATATCAGGGCAGTTATAATGAAAATAGCAGGTGTCCTGTTGCTTTTTGGTCAATTACCATAGTTAATGAATGAAGCATTTTTTTTTATTACAATTTAATTACCCAAGATTGTTCAGCTCAGTTGCAACATCTGTTTTTTTGCAAGGGCCTACATTTTAAACCCAATTTTTTTAAAAAAAAGTAGGTCATCTAGAGCACAAAGAGCTTGATCCAGCACTGTGCATATGAACTTCTGTACCCAGAAGGATGGGAGATGAGCCCCAGTGTCAGGGACTGCATCCTCTTGCATTTCAGACTGGAGCTGTTGCATTCACCTCGGGGCAGAGGTCTTCACACCTTCTCACTTTTTGCTGGAGCTGTGTGCCTCAGCACCATGTTTCTCAGCACCAGTAACCATGGCCATCAGCAGCAGAACAGTGGGAATAATATAAATACAGTCTCTGGTTTCAAGCTGTGGCCTGCACACATATGAAGTCAGTTGCCTTAACCACTGAAGAAAGAGCTCCTCTCATCTACTTTCCCTGGATGCCTGGCCTGACTGCTCCTTCTGTTGCTGTACCCCAGCCAAAATGCTCAAGTGGTACTATTAGCCTGGACACTCCCAGCCTGGTGGGATCTAGCCCAAACAGAAGGGACCCAGCTCTTACAAATGGGATGTCTGGATACCACAAGAGCGCTTCACTGCACTGTGTAGCCTTGGCATATCCATTGCAAAATATCCTTATGGCTCACTGAACAGTAAATACCTGTGGTACTGAGATGCACTCCTGCTACTAGAAGACATCAACTCAATAAATGAATTATTGAGTAAAACTCTATGGTCAGACTAAGTAATCACAGTGAATCCCTTCTGGCCTTAAAATCTATTATCTAAATTCTCATTTACCCTAAGGCCATTTTACCCCCCTCTAGCAATATAAACGGACCTTAAGGACTGAATATTTATATCCCCGTTGAGATATCTTTATGTTGCCAGAGATGCCTCAGTAACCTTTGTGTGAATGAGAATGAGGAGCTCTGAGTCCCTCAATTGCCATGTTGGAGCTTGGCTCAGGGGCTGGGGTTTTGCTCATTTCTGTGGTTTTCCTTGTCAGATCAATACATGTAGACTGTTTGGGAGTCCTTGACTTAATATTTTATTAACATTGATTCATGTAACTTTGTTTATGCCTTTTGTGCTGGGGATTGACTAAATAATGGCATAACCAATTGACCCACCTGCCTTTGGCATGGTGCTCATATCAAGGTGTGTATGTTTCCCAGATGTGCTGTGAAATCACACCAACCTGTGGAGAAGTGAAAAGAAATCAAAGAGTAAATCTAAAATGGTCTGGGCTATAAGCTTTGAAACAAGTCCTAACAGCCTCACTTTTCTCTGGAGTGTTGGTGAATCCCAGCTGACCAGAATCTGATGGGCACCAGGAGCCCAGTGTGAAAGTAGAACTGCTTGATCTGAGGTCTACCTATTAGTTTTATTGTGGTTGTACCTCCAAATTTGGGTTTTCTGCATTAAAACCTGGAGTAGGATGGCCCTGATGTGCAACACGTGTGCACACTCTAGTAGCAGCTTCATCTTCTTGTTGTCTTAAACATGATCTAATAATAAACAAAAATTCATGGTGGGTGCTTGGATGAGATTAACATCTGCTCACTAATCTGTTTCTAAACTGCATAGTGGCCCTTATCCATCCCCTTTTCACTTGGATGAAAAGATAGCAAAAAATTAAGAGACCAAAAAAAAAAATCTAAAGAGAAATTCAGATGCTTCAGATTCCTGCTGGATAAATGCTGGCATTTGGTGGTTCCTGGAGCACGGCACACTGTACAGAGCCCTTCACACATCTAACATCGGCCCAGCTGCCTGCTACAGAGAGGGCTCTTTTTGTTTCACTGGGCATTGAATGCAGCAATACAAGCCATGACACATGGTAGGAGAAAAGCAGACACCCGAGGACAGATTCCTCTGTTGCATAATTCCACAGCTGAGAAATGTGCCAGGGAATGCAGAATTATGACCAAGACTTTTCCAGTTTTCCTTCTCTTTGTCTTATGGCCCAGTTGAAAATTGTGACAGCTGAAAATGAGGGAAAAAATGGAGCTTTATTGCTTTCCAGAGGAGTCAGATGGCCTTCAGCAATTACTGTAAGAAGTGAGAAGTGGTCCTCTTTAATGGATCTGCTGCAAATCTGTGGACTTGGTCTGTATATCTATTGCAATTGTTTTTCTAGTCCCAAAGTGCTCCTGGGCATCTCCCAATGGTAAATACCTCCAAGATCTTCCCTTTTGCAAATTCACAAGCGCAACTACTTCTGTAAGTGTCCAAACCATTGTTATACCTCCTTTGGGCAAGGAACAGCAAAGTGAGACAAGCTAAGCTTAAACTGAAAAAATGTGCCCTTCATTTTCAACCCCAAAGTGGAAGCTGTTCAAAGTAGCCAGCAGGGAATAATTCCTGCTGCTGTTGGTTTGGGGTTTTTTTCTTTTTTTCTTTTTTTCTTTTTTTTTTTTTTAATTTTTTTTTTTTTAAATACGGGAACTGCCAGCAGGTCTGTCCCAGGGTATATCCCCCTGTACTCCCACTGCCCACAGCTGCTGGGGGCAGGTGGTTGAAGTATGGTCTGCCCACCCCAGTTTGGAGAGAGATGTGGGGTCAAAGTAGGGTGCAGGGCTCAGCAGACCGGGAATATTGATCCTGGCAGCACCCAGCCCTGTTGCACAAGTGCTTTAATGAGGCAACAGTATCCCTAGAGTTTATTGCTTTGGATTACACCATGTCACCTTCTGTTACACTGCGTGAAACCCTAAGCCGGGCCGACATGGTGTAACTCAGGGGACCTTGATGTGGAATGACATTACATGATGCAGTGTGTGAGAAAATCAAGGTTTTGCTCATCAGGTACTCACCCCTTATTTCTGCAGTGGCTGTGCAGTTGAGCTTTCAGCAGGTGGTCAGCAGGGTAGGTGTTTGGAAGAACTGGGATATTTTCATTAAGCAATTTCAAATCTCATTAGCAAATTTTCATAAAGTGATAATGCAGTGGCAATATTAGCCTTATTAATCCAATATGAAAGTCACTCTCATGATAGGGAAAAGTGATAATAAAAGCCTTTCATTTTATACAGTCTACCAGCACGTGCATCAGTGTGCTCTTAATGAAACGATGCAGAATTTTAATCTCCCTGAATCATTTCAAAGCTTTTGAATACAGCGAATTAATACCAACAGAAAGTTTCAAAGTTCATTTTACCTTCATAACAACTTCCATCTCTTACTAAAAATAAGACTTTTTTGGCTTAAAAAATGCCATGAGACTAAACAAAACCCCAAAAACTTTTCATTTGAGCCTGACAGGCAGAAGGGATTTGTGTAGTTGTACAATACCAGATAAAAGCATCATCTAAACTGTGTTTCAGTTGCCAGGACAACTAACCACTGCCACACACTCAGCCCTGCAGACTGCGGTGGAAATCAAATGGCATGTGATGGATCAGCTCAACCACCAGCCTCAGTGGCAGAATAAAATAGCAGGGCCATGGTGATTTCTGGATGATGCTCATAGTTGGCCAGTACCTGATCTGAAGAGAAAAAAATAAGGCCACTGCCTATTTCTAATTTAATCTTCAGATGTTAAAGCTTTTTGTGAGGAGCTGAATTACAAGAACTGTCCAAACGGTTTTACATTTTGCAAGCCACTGGCTTTCCTCTTGCACTTTTTGCTCATGCTATGAAATCTGTTTTGTAGATTAAACCGTCTAAAGCCCATCTGAAATCATAAACCATGTCTCGCTGTGTGACTGATGGCAGGGGCAGAGGGAATGGGTGCAGGGAGGCACTTGCCCTTCTCCTGTCTCCCAGCTGGTCCCATCCTGGTGGGTCACAGAGAGTTGCACCAGCCCTATCAGCAAATAGGTGAATCCCCTCTGCCACAGTGTGCTTGTCCCCAATAGATGTCAGGCCATAAACCCAGGCTCCAATACAGGCAGACCCTTTGGGGACAGTATAGAAACTGTCTTTAATTCCAGGTTCAGTCCTGTGTCCTCTCCATGCAGGGAGGATCAGCTGGTGTCAAGGCACAGTGCTGGGTCCGAGGTGGGGTCAGTAATTAATTCCAGCAGTGGATACTGCTACAGACGAGGGCTAGTTTATGCACAACGAATTTAATTAGCTTCTGGTTTCTGTTTACTATTTCATCAATTAGTTTGAGCACATAGTGGTTTGTAAAACGATCAATAGGGCGGGGTTTTAATTACTTAGAGAACATTATTTACATTATTTATCCCGTGGTCAGTCAGGTGGCTTGTGTTTATAAAAGGGACTTGGAAGCTGCCCGGCTGCTGCAGCTCTGGTGAGGCTGGTTAACCACTCATTCTGTAAGGAATGCTGCTCACGTGAGTAAGTGCTCTGCAGTTTTGTCGAGAGATGTAGATAAGTGCTGTCTAGAAGTAATCAGTTTCTTTAGTCTAATACTGCATAAAGACTTTCTAACTTTAAAGACTCTTTTCATGAATGGGAAAATATGAAATCAATTCCATTTATCTCAACGAATCTTTCAGCAAGCTCAGGTTTTAGCGTGGGGGCACTGCAGGCAAAATGTAACAAATGTAGCAGCATAAAAATGATTAAAGCATGATGAGCAAGGTTATAGAGATAAAAATGAGTGAAAGAGTTGGAAAAGTGAAAACAAGAAATCTGTGAGATACTAAAGGGTTTGCCTATTTTTCATGTTTACTTCTTCAGTGTTCATAATTTTTTGGTCCATCATCAATCACTGTCAATTTGAAAAAGTGCTATACTTAGGGTCATTTATTCAGGGCTATTGGAGGCTAAAATTATGCAGTTTCAGTCAAATATACATGAATAAAGACTGTCATTTCTGATTAATGACATGTGACTTCAGTGTCTTACAGAATCATCTTGCCATCCAAGCTTTACAAAAAGGTTATTATGTAAGGCCTCTTCCATAATATATCTACTTTTTCTTTAAGAATACTGCAGAAGCCATTTTGCTCACATTAAAATCAGTACTGATATCCCTTATGCCAGTGGTAACTGCTCCAAGATTTGGAGTTTGCCAGAGTAAGTAAATTTTGCATTACTGAGGATGATTACTGAGCTTGTGGTTTTTGCTTTTTATTTTATCATTTTAACTAAGAGAAAGCCTGGCCTTTTATTGGAAAAAATATCTGTAGAAAGCGACCTTATACAATGGTTCAAAAACCCACCACATATGGCATTTCATGATTCACCATTTCCCTTATCTCCCAGTGCATAATGCAGCCCTTGTGTGCAGTTGCTCTGAGGAAGGAGAATGGGTGAGAGTTTAGAAACTTCAGAGAAATGCCAAAAAACGAGAGAAAGGGGGAAAGGACGGGAGAGGCACCCATGCCAGGGGCTGCAAGAACTTCCCCACAGCCAGTCTGTGCCTGTTAGTGCTCACAGGGAAAATCTCACTGCTGTCTCTGAAGCAGCACAGGGAAGCACAGACCGCGTTTTGCCATATGTTCTGTTACAGCCTCTCAGCTACTTCTCGCTCCTGTAAGTGGACTCCTATAGCAACCATCACACGGGCTGGCTCCTCTCGGAGCTGTTTTTTCACTCCAGGACAAATCATTCCTTTCACAGTAAAGCTCTGCTTTGAGGGAAAAGAGAGGAAGTTTTTCTGCTGCTTTGCCTCCCATTGCTTGTAGCAGCGGCAGAGTTTAAGGTCATGCCAGAGGTCTTGGAGTCTCCAGGTACCCAGAGAAGAGGATGCAGAGAAACCCATGTGCTACCATGTTGCTGTAAGGGCCCCTCTCCTCTGCTCTTTGTGGTACCAGCAGAAACACTGATGGTTGTAGCTCTCCAAATTCCCATTTCTACAGCAGATGTGATAGTGGTAGGGCTGCAGCTGTATTTATTAGCCATCATAACCTTTTTTCCTGGCACTTTGGCTGGTAAAAAGTGCTTCTCCATCAAAATATTTAAGGGTTTTCTCTGAAGTCTGGTTCTCACATAGAAACCTGGAATTTTTTTTCCCCTCTCTCCTGAGTGCCATTAGGAGGGCACACTTCTTCACTTGGGTAGCCATAAAACAGAGGGAAGTGTGATAAGGACAGGAGTACAAGAGGAACTGGGGCTCCTGCTGAGAGCCCAGTTGCCCATAGGGCTGAGCAGGCGGTAATGCAGAGATCACACCCTTTAAAATCAACTTTTACTTCCCCCGGTTAGAAAAAAACCCCCACAACTGTAGTGGGCAAATATACCTGCCAAAGTCCTTCCCTGGCCACTCTTTTACCTGTTTCCCTACATGTATGACTTGATGCCAGCAAATTAGATGATCTCAGATGCTATGTATTTGGGCTTTCCTTTTCTAGGAGGAAAATTTTCTGGTCTTGTCTTAAGCCTTTGTAGCAAAGCTCAGCTTTGCTGGGGGAGGCAGGTTGTGCAGGAGGTTCCCAGGTCTGTTGCTGCCACAAACCTCGGACTCCGCAGTGTTTGCTAACTGGTGAGCCCTGTGGTACCACTCCATGTGTCTCTGCACACAGTAATAAAAACTGACTTGGGATAATCCAGTAGAAAGGCCTAACAGCCAGGTGAATCGATATTTATCATATCATGTCAGAACAGAGCTATTGGTCCAGACTCTCCCCTTGAAACCTCCTAGTTTTACTGCTTATTGCTTTTTACTATGGCTTGTAAAACTAGAATCTGTAATTCATATGAATTCTACACAGAGTGAGAGGAATGACAATATTAGGTATAAAAACTATGAGGACAATTATTTTTAAAACAAATTAATTATTTCTCTAATGTGTAAATTTTTTATATTTCTCAAAGATTAAGGAAGAATTTTGTGTTGCTGAATAGGTGCACAACACATTTTATACTTCTACCGTTCTATTTTGTTTGTTCCAGTTACTTGAGCTTTGTTTGGAATGTCCATTGACCTAAATGGAAACACATTTTTCAGAATTATCATTGAGATAGACAAAATGCTCCTTGGGAACTGTATTTCCAGCCCCATGAGGTGCCAGTGTTGGTGAATCTGCAATGAGCTTCTCCCATGGGAAGTGAGAGATTCCTGGTCCGTGACGAGACAGCTTTGGAGTGGGATGAGTCCAGGAGGCTCTGGTTGCAAATCTCTTAGTTCCTCTTTTGTTTCTAGATGCTTATTTTATAAAAGTCTTCTTGTGTTTTACTTTCTGCAAGTCTGAGTAGTTGCTGAGATGCCATTCTTCAATTTCTCCTCCCAACCAATTGAAGGTTCAAGTATTGTCTCTGCATGCTGCAAATTTTGATTGTTTCCCAAAGGGCCAGGCTAGGTTCAAAGGAAACTTGCTTAAAATGAACTACTACTTGTCTGAAAGAAAAAATGTTATTTTGTTCCATTTCTTTTGTATTTATGGTTCAAGGTATTTTCAGTAGAGAAAGACCCATGAGTTTGGGTAGTAGTGTTACATACTGTTTAGTGGTTAAGAGCTACAGACATATTAAATGAGCTAATTCAATGACCTCTCACCTTCTGCTGAGTAAGTGATGTGTTATGGCAATGTGACTACACAGGTCTTGAGCAGCTGCAGAACATCACAAAGTGTTTTTCTGCCGGGACACAGTAGTGGCTCCAGGGCTAGGCATGCATTTTGGGGTAGTTACTACACAGTGTACCTCTGAAGACTCTGGATGCTGTCACCACTTAAATTTGTCTGTGTTTCTTGTGGATTAGCTGACACAATGTACGTAGAATCAAAATTTGTTAATATATGTGTATGTGTGTTAATGTCAGTGAAATATGTGTGCACACACTTATAACGTCTTACATGCATTAGTGTTAAATTAACAAAAGTATTAATAGATAAATTTACCTACTGCAAAAAAAGGTAGTGCTCAAAATGTGAAGGTCTTGCTAGGAAAATAAAGTACATCAAGGCAGGTAAGATCAAGAAATAAAAATAAGATCACAAGCAAAAGGAAAAAGATTTTGAGTGATCAATAGACAACAACAGTAAGAGTAGTAAGAGGAATGTGCAAAACTACGTATTTGCATTGAACAGTGTAACATTTTCCTATTTTATGCTGTTTTGACTCTGCAAATCAAATGGTATCCAGAATCATGGCATGATATAGTTGATTCAACTCTCATCCGTTTTGTTTAAAGGCTACAACACAGGGCATCTGTAACATAGGACTGTACATATTTCTTGTGGTTCTGATACTATTAAAGCTACTTAAGTGTCATGACGTGTTTATTTATGAGATCATCAAAGCCACTTAATAACTTTCTCCTGGTTACTTGTTTACATCTGTGTAATACAGAGCCAGATTGTGCAGCCCACAGCCACGTCGGTGAGCACTTACTCATGCAAGTTGTGCCACTGACATAAGGGTTTCACAATCTGGCCCATAATGTATCAAAGTACACGAGGCCAAGATCTTATCACTTGCAATCATGTAAATCTGGCTTTAATCCATTTAAGCTCCAAGTTAGGTACCTAGATATAAATCAGTGAAATTTCGTTGGCTTCAGTGTTTGACTCAGTGGAGCTGCTCTGATTTACGCTGAGAAGATCAGGCCCATTAGATTTGCAATTTAGAAAGGCATTTTCTCCACTGCATGTATAAACGTTACCATAGCTGAAATTAACATCACCACAAAGAAAGATTATTTTCTACACTGGCTATTTAAAATATCTCTTTGCACAATATAAGCAAAGAGAATTATGTCGGAGTTAGAGGCAGAGTCGCATATGTCTTAACCTTTACACTGGCTATGAGTACATCAGTTTCTACAAGATGAACTGCATTATAAAGTAAATAGATCTGCTTTAAAGAAAGGTCAGGACACATGTTCTACTAAAATCTAATTTCAGTCTATTGCCCTATAACCTACTGCTCTCTGGAATACAACAGATATAATAGTAAAGAGCCTGCATTTAATTATCTGTGATATAAAGCCTCCTTATCCTCCTGAGAATATTCACAGGGATAATAGAAGGTATTCTCAAAATTCTGTATTTACTTCTGTGTAGTGAGTGCATTCTTTTTTAACTGTCTTTCTTGCTTTCTGGAAATGTTATTTTAGCACCTCTTATACCCTTAATCCAATGTTATATTACTTTTTATGTCCTGGAAGACTAGATTGTTTTACAGACCCAAGCAAACCATATTGCAGTGCCGTTAGCTAGTGATAGGTTCCTATGAGTGCAATGAGAGCAAGCTCATCATCCTTATGCATTAACTGTTTGCAGCTGCCTGTTTTTAAGATGAATTACATTAGGATTCAACAGCTTAATAATAACATTAACTTTGCTTGGTAAAAGCCAGAAGAACTTTAAAGTGAAAGGTACTTGCCACAGCCTCAGTGTTAGCCTGGCAGAGAAACACCTACAGATAATGTGTAGACTTAAATAAAAGAATAATTAAGGTGGGGTGGGCTTAGCCATGTTATAACTGATGTGCCATGCAGTCCTAAATCAACATGTCATTTGGAAAGGAAATAGATGTTAAGTTGGCTTTTATTGGTGATCATTCAAGCCCCAGCCTGAAATATTTAAACAAATTTCATGAAACAAAAGAGAAAAACATCTGTCTAGGGGTCAGATCTAAACAAGGACACTTTTGCCTCATAATTTTTTTTTTTTGTCTTATTGTTTATCTCATTGCAAAGAGGCATGTAAAAACTATGTTCTGAACCAGTATCAACTACCTAATTACTGATTAAATTAGAGTAGCTCCACCAAGATCCAAAAGCTGAGAATCAGGCCTGAACTGGCCAGAGCAATCCTTCTCACCCAGGTCCCAGGAAGAAGTGTCCTGAACGATGCTTTGAAAGTAAATAATCCCTAACTATTACCATTTTAGTAGGGTTTAAGAGGGTTTTAGAGTTTTGAAGATAGGTAAGGATCTGTAGTTTGATTCCAGAAAGCAACTGAGCTGACCATGCTTCTACCTTTGTTCCTCCATCCATCATCAGCTCCGCTGTCTTAAGTTGGTTGTTTAATATTATGTGAATTGAAACTTAATATATTTAAACACACTTTCCTCAAGTGTTTTCTGTGCAAGACAGTGATAATCATTTAAGGTAATGTTCTGTCATCATTTGGAACTCATAATTCCCAGTGTAGATCAGGATTTCAGCAAAAAGGAAGAAAATTATGGAAAAGGAAAGGAAAAAAGGAAAAGGAAGGAGAAGAAACATGATGGTTGCTAAAGACGTTTCAGGAAAATGAATAACCTGAATTCCTACATCTCTGAGTATCTTGGGCATTGGATTGGAAATGCCTATGAAATCCTTACAGAGAAAGATGTGGCATTCTCTTTTCTTGTGAAATGTCTTACTGTGTTATTGTCTTGTTGGAATACGCTGCTTTGGTAGAGTTTATGGCAAAAGCTCCTTGAAAGAAGCGCGTCACTTTTGGTATCATTGCACAGTGGATGTTACACCCATGAAGGTCCTCCCTGCTGCCAGTCCCCCAGTAGATGCAGCTCATGGAAGGTCTTGCAAGCACCAGATGATTCAATGTTTTTCAAATGGTTCTGACAGACACTGCATGTGATGAGCTTGTAGCACTCTTTGAATCTTTCAAGGCAATTAGAAAAATATAATTTAAAAAAATCACAAAATAAATACTACTTATACAAGTAAATACCTATATCAAGTAGCTATAAATAGTATTTGGTCTTGCTGCTTATCAGCTTCCTGACCAATTATTTCCAAAAGGCCTTCAGAGCTGGTGAAAAGCCACATCACAGAACGAGTTACTGGGCCACTGGTACCTGCAGATTTATTTTTTTATTTTTTCCTGCTCTGTCTCTTTCAGGGATCCCCTTGGGTGCTGCTTTCAGCCTGGGATTGCTCTGGCATGACCACTTTGTGGACGAAAAGGGTTGCAATGACCCACCCCGGGGTGGAGGCAGAAGAGGGGCTCTGAGTGACCTCCCATGTGGGCACAGGGTGGTTGTGTTTGGTGAGTTCACAGAAGTGTTGCAATCTGATGTTCTTTGGAAGTGTGAAAGATGTGATGGCATGTGACTGTGCTGGTGAAGCTAGTTTAATCGTACCCAAAGGAGAACAATAAATTCCACCTAGAAGCAAGAAAAATGCCTCTAATTCTCCTTTAGGGAGCATCTATATAACTAACTTTCCTATTCCAGTGCAATGAGACCCAGCAGTCTCTGCAGACACTCCTGGTTTTACTGTTTCAAATTTTCTTAGAAACCTTAATACTTCCACACAGGAGACTTCCTTCTGGGGCATTAAAATACAGATCCCTAGGATCTCTCTTCCATTTCCTGCAAAATTAATGGTAATTACCAAGAATGATTAGCAGGTTCAGTGCTTATTAGTCTTACTTTTTAAAAATCTGAAACAAATGTTTTTTCTTTTACTGTAACTGATCATTTTAATTTCCCTTCTTTGTCTGTAATAAAAATTGACGTTAAAGGATGCCTGAGGCAGTGTAATGAGAAAATGAAATTAGTTTTTCAGTTGGCTGGTCAAAAGCATTTTATACATGATAATAAACAGTTTATTTTACTCTCTTGCTTATGACATAATAAATGATAAAAACATTTTCTTGAAATAGAGATTTCCTACTTTGATACAGAGAGCTCAAGCTGGGATTTTTTCCATTCATGGGATCATATAACAACCCCAGGGAGCGTCTGCCTTCTTGATCTGCTTTTCTTAACTTTTTTGGGGGGACTGTACACAACAGTGCATCTCCGCACTGAGCATGGCCAAAACCACAGGTCTTCAAGAAGGAAGAAAAAAGCCTTTTCTCAGAGGGGCAGAGTCAGTTACACTGTGCAACCCAAGAGTAAAGCTATGTCGAGGCATTTCTGAGGAGTCGCTCAGAATTTTGTGTAGTATTCTTAAAGCCGTACCAAACCCTGTGTTTAAACCAAATCATGCTGTTGCATTTGCAAACAGTTGAGCACAGAGGGAGCCTGAGCAAGAGCAGCTGGGTAGTCTCTCTGCCCTTGATGGCCACCTTTCTTCTCCTCTTTCTTTAAACTTGGGGAGAGTGCGAAATCAAAGTGTTAATGGTTTGCATAAATTCTTCATTGCCAAACTATCCACTGTTTTCTGAGGCCATAGTAAGAATGTTTGCAGATGCAGGGGAAAAAGAGGCTCAGTTGTTGTTCAGGGTTCAGTGGAAGCCTGTGAGCACTTTGAGAGTTGTCCCATTTCAGCTGTCTACCCTTGCATTCATCTTGTGCATGAATTGTAAAAGCCTTTTCTTCACAGAAGCTTTTTCTGAAGTGAACAGATGAGGCTCCTTGGACTGTTTAGATTGGTTTAGATTGATTATAGTGGCTTCTACAAAGCAAGAAATCAAAATAGGTGAGTGGTGAGATGAACACATAACATATTGATAAATGTGGTTACATATATGAAATGGGCAAGAAAAAGAGAGAAAAGCTGAGTTTCTCGCATATGATTCTTACAGTTCTTGACAGCTCGAACTCCCACATGCTTGAATAGTTCAATACTGGATTAGTGTGATGTCTGCTTGGCGGATCCTGTGGGGCATAGGCTCAGCAAAAAACACATCATTCAGGATTTTGGGGACATCTCGTAAACTGTCCAACTCTTCTGGCAATCCCACTTCAGTCAAAGCCAAACTTGAAGATGGAACAAGAGGGGAAGGGAAAAAGAGATGCTTCTTTATTTATGCTTCTGTAATTTATATTCAAAACACTGATTAGTCCATTTTTGTAGAATAGTGCCAAAGAAGGAATTTTTGGTAAAAGAATATGAACTTTTTCTAGCAAGTTGGACCATGCCTTATTAGCAAGAAGGAAAAGCAGAATGGACAGGTAAGCACTGAACTGAAAGCTTGATTGTTTGTCTTGTTTTGTTTTGTTTTTACTGAAGCCTGTGGTAAGACTGCCATTATATTTAATAAAGCCAGGAGGCTATCTATTAACATGAGGGCTTTATCTTTTTTCCTATGCTAAGGAAAAAGGAAATTTGTCACTAAAGTACATGCACAACTTGTTTGTAAATAGCAAGTGATTGTTTTGAAAGGCATCCTTTTGGTGGAAAAAAAAATCTATTGGTAAAAACATAATTGAAACCTTTGGAATCTTAACAGCTGCACCAGTAATATTAATATTCCAGTTGACATGTTAGTAGCACAACTTTTATTATGTGCCAAGCTAGTTTTCACTGGAGTAATACAGATTTGACAACAAAGAAGCTATTTGCATATTCCTACTCATATACCTTATCCTTTTGACATTACTAGGATTGGACCTAGTAATATTGGACCCAGTCCAATACTAGATTGGATTTTGCTAAAACTAAGCTAGGTTAAGACATGCTGCATCTGTATGATGAGTGAAAATCTTAAAATAAAACATGGTATGGGTATGTATCAGAAACAGAGCTGACACTATGGTGCTCATGAATCCAGCACAGACCCAAGTTCTAATGCAACAGGTAGAAAATGAATATCAAGATTTAAAGAATAGTTCAAGTTTGTGTTGGAAAAACTCAACTGGTAAGTTGCTCCAGTTCCCAGTGGGAAGCCCTGTTAGGCCTAGCGTGGAGGTTTTTTTACTGATATTTTGAATTTGTCCTCAAAAACCTCAGTGGGGTCTTGCTAAAATAATATCTGCCTCTGCTTAGCATTTGATATCAAAGTTTCATTTTAGATATTATTCCACAAATAGTTTGTCATAAGTTTGATGACAAATTGAGTTAAGAATTTCACCTGGCTGCCCCTTCATGTGGTGTACAGAAGAGGCCATGGTACATTCCACATATCTCTGACTTTCAATAATTTTCCCCAAAGTCCAGAGATGAGCAGACTCACCTCCATTTTATTTTAAAATTCAATCCCAGAAAATAGAGATGTAGGAGGAAAAAAATCAAACCTGTTTTGGAGAGGAAACAACCACTTTTTTGGCACTAAATGTTCCTTTTCCCTTTCCGGCTCAGCCCACACTCGTGTACGGTGCCCATATGGATGAGGTTTATGGGAATATAGGCTCTTCTAACATATCAAAATATTTACCTTGTGTGTCTCAGCACAACATCATTAATTTTACTAAGCTCCCATTCTCAGTAAGTGCCAGCTGTCTTTGGGTTTCCAAGGCACTCGGCTCTGATAAGTGAGCTCTTGTGTTAGCACTGCCACGGTCAAAGGTCCGTGTCAGGTCAGGACCTCTGCTCTGTGGGAGAGATAAACTGATTTAAAACTACCAGAGGAAACAAGTAAAAGGGAAAAATGGAATATATAAAGCTTATGAAATGTCATGAGATGTGTTGCAGGCTTTTGGACAATGCTGAATGCAGTTAACCTGGAGGAAAAAGGGGGAGATAAAGGATCACCTGCTACTAGAAAAAGATCTGGTGCTAAGCATGAGCGGGACATAATGACATCTTTTTAGCTGTATCAGCAATGATGATTCGATTTCTAGTAAGAAGCTAGAAAGGTATAATTAGGAACAATTTTTTTCTTCTCTATAGATTCAGCTTGTGAGCTTTATTTAGTACAATATAAAATCCAGAGAAATAAACCCATCATATTTAATTTGAGTTCACAGTATAACATTTGTTAATATTTGTCCTTTTTTTTTTTTTTTTTTTGGTTAAGCGGGTAAACCGCATAGCTATTAAATATGCAAGATGTAAATCACAGTCAATTAAATGATAGCTAAGGTACTGTGGCAGACCTGATTAAATTGGTGTGTTAGTAAGATTATATACACAACATCTGTGGAACAACATCTCAGATATGTGCTGTGAAATTGAAAAAGAAGTCTTCTGGAGTCTCAGCCACACAAGCCACTCAGTTGTTGGATGCAACCCCCAAACCTTCAGACAGTCTGGTTTGAGCAAATCCTGCAAGTCATCCCACCTACCTACAAAGGCCATTGACATCTTCTTGTATTTATTTGTATCAGCTGCCACAACAGGAAAACAGCAGGAGACCTGTGTAGAAGGCACTTAGGTGCAGTTATTCCCCCCTTTCCTCTTCAGGAGGTTGTGCCCCTCGGGAGCACTGGAGTCAGGGAAAAGGCAACAGCCTTTGAAATCGGTGCTTGATGCATTTCAGAGCAGGATTTAGCCCTGGGTATCCGGGGGCTCAGAAGCATGAGCACTGCTTTATCTCTTCTCTGTTTTCACAAATATGAAGCGCTTACCACTGAAGTTCAAGTGTAACTTTAAAAATCTTTTAAAATCAAATTCTGTGGTTAAGAGTCAATGGAAAAATTCATGCTGGAAATAGGATTTTTTCCAACTGTCATATCTGGCATAATATTAAATGTGTCACAGCAGAATTAGTATTATCTCTTCTCAAATGCTTTTCCTAAGGTTTCCTGATGTGATCAAGTGAAGGTCTTAGGGAAAGGTGAACTAGTTAAGAAAATGCAACTGAATTGGTGATCAGTTTAGTTTCAAATCAGAAATAAATTTATTGTATACCTCTCAGTAATAAATGTCTATTGCCTTTTTCAATTTTGTGTTTTAAGACAGCAGGAAGTGTTATAATGCTGTGTAGTAAATAATTTCTTGCACGGTTTCCATCCACCCAAAAAAGAAGAATCAAAATAAGACTTTTTTTTTTCTTGTCTTCTCCTAATAACATTTTGCATATTTGATTAGTAGGAGACTGATTCTGCAAAGCCTAAACTAAATAAAATCTAAAGAATGTTCATATGTTTGAAATTGGAACTAGACTCAGTGAAATCAATAGTTAATCAATCTTCAAATATTTTCTGAGGTATTTTAAGATGGTATCATAAACTTGGCAGAATTTGGTTTTGAATGAACACAAAAGATTTTGATTTGGTCTTTTTCTCTTCTCTAAGTGATTTGCCCAGGAATAGAACTGCTGGGAAATACAGCCAGAGAATTGCATAACTCACCATTCCTAATGCAGATACAAGAGTCTCACAGTTGCAGCCTCTCCCCAGGTACACCATGCATGGATGGCTCTTGTTTCTGCTCTGCCAGCCTTTCCAGCACATACAAAGTAAAATTGCATTATCTTGGCACTTCCTATTTTAATTTCTGCATGGCTAGATTGCTTTTCTCCTCCATTTTTGTTAAGAAGGGCTGGAATGATGCAGAGTTTTGTCTAAGCTTTGCCAGGAGATGTTTCTTGCCTATCAAAAAAATTGGGCAAAAGCCGGATCAGACAAGTGTGCACATTTGCCATCTTGCTCTGCTCTTGCAGTGCCGACTCCTTTGTCAGGGATAATAACATCAGGGAGATGACCTTGTGAGGTAAACCACACATTTATTCAGTCTCCAAGCTCTGCTAACATGTTGGTTGAAGTATGATCTCTGTCAAGCCCAGAGATGTAATTACCCTGAGAGTTAATGCTAATTGGTTTATTGAGTTTAATTGGATATCATTAAAAATACTGTCGTCCTATGCAGGAACTAAGACAATATTCATCTAAAGGACGAATAATGATTCTTCATCGTTCATATATAACCTTGATTTTACACCATTATTTCACAACAAGTTTTGGATGAGCAAGGTCCACCACTAAGGACATTTTATTTTTAGTTCTGCCCACTGCTCTTAACCTTCTCCAAACTTTTGGATGAAGAACTTGATAAAATGTTTGATGATATCTCTAAGGTTAATTACAATTTCATCTATGTCCAGAGACATGCTGTAAATGATTTAAAGAATAATAAAACTATAGAGGTCAAAAGAGCTGATAAAAGAGGTTTCAGTCATCATAATGAATAATGAATTGGAATAATTAGACAGTTTTAGTGATGATTATCAGAAATTAACATGTGATCTCACTAAAGAGTTTCAACTGCTCTTAGACTGGATTAGTGATAAGCTTTTGGAAAAGGGGCGGTTTATAATTAATAAGGTTATTTTTTGTCATTGCTAGGACTGTAACTCAGTATGGTATATATTTTTTAAAGACAGAGAAGTTTAGATGGTCTTGGATAAAGACTGAAGTAGAGTTTTGGCTTTGGGGGCAGAAAGTAGAAAAATGACAACATTTGGGCCTGTTTATTTGTAATTAAGACACTCATTAAAACAGCATAATCCCCCTTTTTATGGGGTCACAGTAAAAAAAATAATAATTTCATGAAACAACAGGAAAATCTTGGTCATATGGTCAGTTAGCTATATTATGGCTGGGAACTGAAAAGTTGGGGATCTATCCACAAAGTCCAATTCTTTTTTGCCCCATAGAAATATTTCAGTACACCCCTCCCTCACCCCTCCTGCCCCCTCTTTGGTTCTGCTGCTCCAATATTAAAAGGGATGGAGTGATCTGGATTTCCCTCCATTTGTTTCATTTCAGATGTGATAGCTCTTGACTGGCGTCCCAAAAACCCCTGTTCTGCCAGTGATGTGCATCTGGTTGTGATGGGGAGGACAACTGCAGCTCCTCTTGGAATGTTGGCTAAATCCCAACACAGCTGATGCTGATTCAAGTCACCTTCAACATTTTCACAGGTAAATTTTTGCAGAATTTGGTCCAAATGGGGTAACGTAAAAAATGGGGCATATTGAGCTTTCCAGTTGCTCAGAATATATGATGCTGCACCACAGTAAAGATAAGGATCACAGAATGCAAAGCCTTTATAAAACTTAATTTAAGCTTTCTATTTAATATTAAAAATGTTTTAGTATTTTATTCCACTCTAAGGCCTGTTTAGCTGGTTCCCTTTAGTGTCTATGGCTCATCGTTACTAAGGCAACTCTGTCTTTGGAGGCAGGAATACAATAAAAATATTTGTGTTATTTACTTTAATTTAAAGATATGTCTTATTCAAAGATTTATTTTTATTTTAAAGATAGCTAATTCATTTTAATGACAAAAATTACATTATAAAACTTTAATTATATCAAATATGATAAATTTCGAGGATTTAAAAAAAAATATTCAAACTAGAGTCAGCATTAAACAAATTTTCTCCCAGATAATGTGGGACAAAGAGAACCCATATAAGCATAAGCCAGTGTTTAATAGCAGAATTCAACATGAAATTTAGCCACTTCACCAGTCACACATAAACCTCCATCTTAAGGCAGATGGTGGTATAATGGCCTGTTATCAGGAATTGGGATCAGAGCTGGACACACTGACCACCCCTCACCCCTGCTGAGCTTTTGCAGGTGGGCTCCCTAGAGTTGCTGTTGAAGTCCTGTTTTGACTTTAACTGAGTTTGGCTGCCTGGAGGTTTAAAAGATATTTATTGTAAAGCAGCAGTAAGAATTTCACTGCTAAGCTTGTTTTCCTATTTTCTATCTGGAAGTTGGAAGGATTTGAAACTCATCCAGGGATTTGAAACTTCAGCAGTTTCTCTTCCTCTGAAATACTTCAACCAGGCAAAGAAAATTTTCAGGCTGCATTATGACCTTAATTCCTCCATATAACCCATTATCTGCTCATTATTAAGCTATAATAAACATGGAGTCTTTCAAGGACTTTTTTTTTTTTTTGCTCCCCAAATCACTTTAAGAATGAATGCCAGCAATGTTGAATCAAGGGTGTAATGTCAAATGGAATAGTTTCAGTGTAAGCAGAGTTTTCTTTGCATTATGGCCAGCATCCTGGTTAGATGGGTGCAATTTAAAAATAAAAAAAGGCTGGAGTTTATATCTAAAAGTGAGTTTAAAGGGTGTTTCCCATCAGTCATTAACTCTGGTTATTTTCTATGTATCTTATAGCAAAACTAACCATAACAAGATTGTATGATTTCCTGGATAATATGTAGTATGATAAATTAGATTACACAAGTTAAGTGGCAATTTATGACCAGCAGCAGCAAAGAAGTTGTATAAATAAACCAAAGTTAATTAAAATATTAGAAAATATAAATAATCCAAGGTTAGTGAACATTGTTTCATTTTAAATTAATAAATATGCAAAGGTAATGTTTATAATTAAAGCTATAATTTATCTTCATGCTCTGCCTGTTTAATAACAGTGGTAACATAATGTTACATGCAGAAATGTAGTAATAGATTTGTTTAGCACTGACATTATAAACAAATGTCTCAGTCTATTTATTCTAAGTTATGATACAGATTCTTTTCACATGCATCTGATGGCCTTTAAACCATTTAAAATGAACTACATTAATGTAATCTAATCTTGATACTGAACATAACATTTCAGTTTGAATTATCCAGAATCCATGATCCATTTTATTACTCACAAAGCACTTTATACACTTATGATAATGGCAAACCTTGCTCTGTTATTTAAATCCCATTTCAGATGGGATTTTTTTTATTATTATTTTATTTTTTTAAATATTTTTGGTAGTAAAATACAAATAAAGAAAAGTCAATGCTCAGTAAGCCCTTTAACAAAGCAAACAATTCAGCTTTTTATGACATTAGCAAATAATAAAGAAAAGATCTGACATTTACACTTGATGAAATTTTATGCTATAACAGAGATGAAGAAAATGGAATGGAAATCACACATGATAAAACCTGTCTATGAAATTCAGATGGGTCTTAAAAATAACCACTGCTAAATATTTTGGGAACTCTCTTATTTCATTGAGGTCCATATTATTTTACTGTAAAAATCTCTCCTTAAAAGACACTTCGACACATGCAAATACTCTACTTAGTTGGAGTTATTCTGGTAAAATAATAATGAGGGACTTCAGGGGTTTTTATTCATGCAAGGAAGAAGGCAAGATAAAATGGTATAGAAATAGTCAAATAGAGGTTTGTAAGAATAAGAATTGATTTGATATAGTAGTCATAAGAACTGGATTTTCCTGAAAACTTCTGGTAAATATTCTTGGAATTTGCATTTAATCAACTTAATTTTGTATTCAAAGTATCTTACATTTATAGCTGGTCTAGATTTTCAACTTACGGCTGTATTTTCTGTTGTTAGAATGTGCATATTAACTTATTGCAGTGAAATTTAATTGTAGTAATTTGCCCTTTTCCACAGACAAGATCTCTTTGTGCATTTAAGTAGCACACACAAGACCTAAACATGACATGAGCAGCTACTAGCACCTCTCTTTAAATAATAAACTAAATTGATTAAATACTAGGTTTATTTTATTAGGCCCTGAAAGCAGAGTTCAGGTTAACTTTTTTCTTCTGCTTTGTGAGTATCACAATGACACAGAGCTGCAGAGTCAGAAATCCAGCCCATACTCAAAGCAGTGCCCTGTGGATTAAAGGAAAATGACTGCAATAGCCCAATATCATGAATCCACTTACCTGATAAACTCACCAGTCCAAAATAAAAATAGTAAAAAAAAAAAGACAGTAAAACATATTCAGCTTCTGAATACTAAAGAATAAAGAAAAAGAACATTCTGGATTTTGTGTGCTTCCTTTAATTCTGATGCACCACAAAAATAAGCTCCACTGCAACTGTGTTTAAATAAGGCCATTATTAATAAATTGTCATTTTATGAAAGTAGTTTTAGAATTATGTAATTCAATCCTGTGGGAAAGTTTATCTTTTGAAAACTTTACCTTCAATGTCATACCCTGCAGAAGTTAATCCTTAATAGAAGTGATGCCAGAATATTTCTTTTCTCTTTGTATCTGCATGCCAGCAAGGGATTTCAATAGAGACATAAAAGACTGAAATACAGCTGATGTTATACGGGAAAAAAAGAAACTCCTCATCATAGAGCTAAATTTACTCTGAAAATGTTTCCCTGTAGTACAAAAGTAACAAATGAGCAAAAAATCAAGTGAGGCAAGGAAAGTATAGAATTTATGCATGTAATGAATAAACAAATAGGTTATAAACAGGTAAATGTGATGATGGTTTAAAAAATGATGAAAGAAGAAAGTGATGGAGGCAAACATGTCAGAAATCGTGTGATTTGCACTGTGGCTCTCTGAGTTGTGTTGGACAACTTGTTTATCTGATGACCATTAAAAAAATCTTTAAAATAAGGCATCTATTTTGTGTAGCTTTTAATTGGCGTGATTGGGACAGAGCAGGAGTATATTTAGACCACTATTTTTTAGATGTTTCATTGTAACAAGAGGAAGACCTCATAAAAGGTTACTTTAAATACTGTATTTAAGGACAAAAAAGAAGAGAACATTTTTACAAGGAGTTAAACAGTAGGTTTCATCTGTATCATTCACTTTAAATGATCCTTTGTAATAGGAGACAAAACAAGAAAGGTACCCTCAGAAGTGGTGCCACAGTATTTTCATGTTGATTGCAATAAGTGCTGAGAGTAGAGTACATTCTCGGTAAAATCAATGTCTGTGAGGGGGGGAAAAAAATAAAAAAGCAAGAAAAGCATCACAAAGGCTTCAGGATTTTTCCTCTAAGTGCCTCTCCAGGAACAAAGCTATGCCCAGCAAGGGCAGGAGCAGTGGCCAGGAGGAAGGAGGTGGACAATAGAAGGGCTATCGCAGGGTGAAGGGGGTATCACAACAGGAAGAGCATCAGGAGGGGACATCTTCATTAATTCTGTCGTGTGTTTGCTGTCTTAAATCTTCCTGTGTGTTCACTCATCCTTGATCCCTTTCTGTGATGTTGTTGCAAATGTATAGTAAATATCTCTTTTCAGGGCAGTGAAAAAAGAGAGAAACCTGAACTGTAAAACAAATAAATTAAAATTATAAAACACCCCCCCCAAAAAAAAAAGGCGAAAATACCTGTACCACAGAAAAAAACAAGAAAACAAAAGAATCACGAAACAAAGGGAGAAAAGGAAAGTTTGATTTGATAGCACCTGAAACTGGGAGTCACAAACCTAGGTACAATATCACCAAATTACTCTGATGCTCTTTCACTAGAGAAATCTCTTTCCCTTTCTTCTTCAGCTAAATCTTTCCTCAGAATAATTATTAAGGCAGGCCTAGGGAACTGTGTTCATTTCAGAGCTTTCATTTTTAGAAAGACTGTTTAATATTTATATAAAGCTCATGTTAAGTTTATGCACCTGTCAAAATACTAAATTATATGGTAGTGATTGCAAAATGAGCTATTTATCAGACAGATGTCTCTACCAAACCTGGCACACACAGATCCGGAGGGGCAGGTCCCCCCCTGCCACAGGGGACTGGTGCTTAATTTACGTCAGGGAGGGCCGTGTTTAACCCCGCTGGCTCTGAGAGCTGCAAGGGCTGAAGGAGTTCTGCCCAAGAATGCCCTGTCCACCACAGGAGACTAATAACTTTCTCTTAAGTAAAGGCTTGTGAAGCACAAGCAAGAACTCTGGTGTACAGCCTACCTTCATGTGTTCTACAGTGTTCTTCGAAATTTTCCTTGTTTTGTTATCAGGTGGCTGCTTTCTCTAGCTATGGCCTTAGGAGTGACAAAATAGTGTGGGGATGCATTTTAAGTGGAAGAGAGATGTTCTCATGAAATAACTCTATAACCAACAGGGTTGTAGAATAATGCTTAGAGGTGTTAAAACCTCTCCTCGTCCAGCTGTAAATTGGGGCTGAAATGTGCTGTTTTCCCTGCTGGGAACAGGTCAGAGTGTCAGGAGTCTGAGTGAAGGGGCAGAGCTTGAATGAAAGGTCATAGCAGGAGAGGATGGAGATGTGACAAGCTGAGTAACACGGGGCATTAGTAACACCATAACCCACAGGAAGTTTAGGCACCTTGCTGTAACTTTCTCCAGATGTCCCTAAACTTGTGCCTTGTATTTGGTGGAGTTTTGCAGGAAATCCTTTTGCCTTGGGACCACCCTGGCTGCACTACTGAGAGGTGTACAAAGCAATGTCTTATTTTCATCTTTAACTAACAGTTCCTATGCATCAGAGAGCCTTGCATGTACAAACCTGGATATATGTAAAAAAATAAGTATGGTGATCCTGGACTTTAGAGGCTTGGATCTGGCACCAAGGAAAGGTAGCACGTTCCCTCCTGCAAGGCTGGTCTCACAGTATCCAAAAAAAAAAAAAAACAACCAAAAAAACCCACAAAAACAACCCAAAAAAAACCACTACAATATCTCTATGTCCAAACTAATCTTGTGCTGCTTTTTAAAAAAAGGGTATTTATTTATGAAGAATAAGCTACATGGGCTTCACTCTGCTTTGGAGAGAAATTCTTTGTAAATATGACTAAGTCTCTCTAATCCTTGTTATAATAAACTCCACTGATCTGAGCAGGTGTATATCACAGTTGCTGCTTTTTAGTGGCACAGCACTTCCTGCATGATCCATGAAGCAAAATTTCTCACACTGGGAGAAGAACAAGAAAAAGGAGAAGGTAAAATAACTGAATTCCTCCCTCAAATGCAAATCCATACCAGTTTGTTACTAATCTCCCTTGAATAGCTGTGTGCTCAGAAACCAAGAGGAAACCAACAGCCACTATCTGACTGAAAATCACCCCTGTATTATCCAAAAAGGTTGGCAAATACCTGGTAAATGTATGCTTGGAATCGTGTAGTTGTTTTTAATAAGTCCTCAAACTCAAAAGCCATTAGGGAATTTTGCACAAATTATTGAACTATATTAGCATAATAGAAAAAATATACTGCATATCACTTGTGTATACTGCATATCTGTACTTATTCCAGTTACTTAATGCATATGTAAATACACTGGGGAGAGAAATAGTTTTTTACTCAGTTTCCATTTGTTTTGATTCTGTGTGATGGATTATGAATTACTAGGCTGCTGATATACCTATAGAAAAATACAATGCAGTAGATGTCTAATTATGACCTGAAGTGAAAATGAATTATAACTCCATTTGATACTTCTTATAATTTGCTGCATTATAAATAAGAGTGATTTATTATTGTTTCACCTACTGCTCAGCTAGTGATGGATCATAATAGTAGATCATCATAACTTCGAAATCAGAATAGAGCTGTTTTTTCTTCCATATAATTCAATTTTAACTCCACTACTGAGGTTGCTGAGTATCACAATCCATCTACTTTACATTATATTTTATTAGAAAGAAGATATGTTAATCTATCTGGTAGCTGTTCATTACTAACATCTGTTTACTAGGCTTCTCCATTAAACTGTCCAACATACCTTTTGATAGTCTCATTACATTTCCAACATGACCCACATGGCAATGACCAAGAAAAATCGATGATCAAGGACCAGGATTGAAAAGGAGGGCTTCCCCTTTGATATGTGCTGTATATTTAAAGCAAAATTACTGTACCATTATACAAGGCCCTTCTTGTATGCATTTGGTTCTTGGTAGTGCTTTATATTCAGCTATTCCACGAGTTCTTGCGTCCCTGTTAAAACACTTGGGCTGGGTCTCATGCAGTCCTCTAGCAGTGGTACAGCCTGGGTGAGGACCTTCCCCTCCCCACTGTATGAGGGTTTGCATATGTCCACCTCTGCAGAGCTGAGTCTCTCATGGCCATAAATCCAGCCTGTGGTAGGGGCACGAAGCCTGACATAATGTTGACCTGTGTAAGTTTATATGTAACAGGTTCACAAAGTCTTTTGCTTGAAGGTTCTATCTCCTTTCCCTCATGCTGCCATCAGATTCCCCTCACACTGCTGTCATTATGCTCCACTTTCTTTTCCGTGCTTCAACAGCTGCACTCCCCTTCCTGCTCAGGGCCTGGCATGTTGCTGGGGCAGATGCTACGTAGCAAGAGTCTCAGTGGCAGCTAATAAAACTTTACATAGGAAATGAAGCCCACTCCCTAGGGAGAAAACAGCCTTCTCCAGCTTCACCACTGGAGAAGGAGCTGATGGATGTTTTGGTGGAGCAGATCAGTCACCAGCAGTGTTTGCTGTGCACAGAACCCTCGCTGCTGATAACGATGGACTCTACGAATACAAGACCGTGTCTTTTAAAACCTGCTTTATTTTAATCATCTTATTCATTTAGTCCATAGCTGTGTCCAAAAACCCCCAGCTGCTTCTGCAGCTTCCTTTGAAGAGGACTGTGTCAGAGCAAGTCTCCAGAAAACAGCAGGAAGACTAAGGCAGCCTGGCTGCCAGGAACATGGAGCTGGTCACTTCGGCTCTACCGACCCTGAGGAGAGCCCTGGAACTGCCATAGACACGTAGTGCCTCTGGCTGCCGGATAGGAACTGGAAAAGCATGAAGCAGCTCTGCAGAAATGGATGTGACTGTGTCTGCAGGACAACAAAGGTAGTGCTTTTTCATCTTTGCTGAGGTACTAAACCTCAGCTGGTGTTAGGGGCTTGGGAAAAGGGAGAGAGATCCAGACAGCCCTTGGTAAAGAAGTGTTCATTTCTTGGACGTGTTTGTGCACCCTGGCCTAAAATAGACAGTGGAAATACTACTGAAAACTGTCCTAGATGGTTTAATCTTTATTTTTAAAGGCTATGAAGGACTCATTGAAGATCAGATAACTTAGGTCAGTAGTTAATTGTTATTTTAGTTTAAAAATAAAATGTTTAGGCTATCTCTGACTTAATGATTAAGAATTTGAAAGCTGCCTTCTCTGTCCTGTGTCCATGAGCAGACAGCCTGGGTTCACTTGTTTGAAAGAATTTATGTGAGCACAGTGCAGTTCATAAAATGTTTTGAAATTACTTTCTGGCTGTTCACATTTCAAAACTGGAGGTTTTCTACCTGGACATACCATCACTGACAATTTCCCTGACACCTTATGTAGAATAGTTACTTTTTAAATTTGGGTGAATGAATATTTATGATGTAAAGTGCATTTTCTCTTAATATTCTGCTACATCAGTTCAAAATATTTTTTATGACTGTGTCTACCATTAACTTGTAAATGTATGGAAAACAGGCACAAACAGAGTAATTGTGTGGTTGCATTTGCTCAGCTCCTTTTGTAAGGGAGGGTTTCTAACGGCTATGGGGAGACTCTGAGTGGAGTTAGATGGTGTCAGGGACAAGCCACTGAGGTCTACTGCAAACCTGCACCGAGAACTGACACCTGACAAAAGAAGGTGAGAATGGAGTGGGACAGGGTGTCCTACCTCCATTACAAGGTGACTCCTTCTAATTGCACCTGAATAAAATAGTAGGGCAAAAGAAAGTAGTTTGCACCATGGTTGTTTATGTGTTGCCTAGATAATGAGGTGCCAGTCTCTGGAGCCACCTTTAGCATATCCCACTACTGCTAATTTCACTAAATGGCCATGAGAAGGAAGTGCATTAACCAGTCCATGTAGTTTCACTTTTCCTTTCCCATTATTAATTTACTTAGATGACTTATCATTTGTATAGTAAGGGAAATGTATATAAAATTGTATATCTTGTTCTTGTTTATTGAAGAAGAAGTATATTAATTCTTCTGAAAACTTTTGCAAAGGCCAAACTTTAATGGACCTCAGAAATCTGGGAAGAAATGAATAAGTAAAAATGAGAGGGAAAAAAAAAATACCCTTGAAGCACAAATTAAATGTGTGTATATATACAGTCTTAAAGCTCCTGCTTTACAACTGAATAAATAACTCCTTGAGCAATAATTTATTTTCATGCTGTTAATTAGAAGCATAATTAATTTTTGTAGATTATAAATAATGGTGCGCAAAATGTCATTCCCAGCAGATCAAACAGAAATAATATAAACATTCTTAAAAAAACAAGAATTGCTTGCAATGAAACTAATGAAACTTGTACTAATGAAAACTATAAATTTGTGTCTGAAGTTAGTAATTTATTGGTAAAATGCAAGGGTTCATTAGTCATTCTGCTTTCTCTTATACTTGGCACATATGGAAGGAAAATCTCTATGTTTATCACTGCTTCAAATAAACAGTAGCATAAGTAGATTATTCCCAACAGAAAGATTTTTCCCACACCCTAATCTCAGAGCAATCATTCACTGATCTAAATGAGCAGTTACTTAAACCGCTAAGAAGGGATGCTAATTAGCCAAGGAAAACTAGGCAAGAGTATTTAATTTAAAAAAAAAAACCAAACCACCAACAAAACCAACAAAAAAACCAACAACTTTTTCCCCCTACTCTCTTATTTCTAATGTGTTATTTACTTCTGGTTGGATTGGACATTGTCCTCCTGGTACTATCATACATAGAGATATCTTCTGAGGAGGACAAGTTCTTACAAACTTCCCTACTCCAAAGCTTTGGTTTTGTAGCCTCCATTCAGCTGTGGTTACATCTTTCCTTTCCCAGATAATTTAGGTGTGTATTGGGGTAAAAATGGGAATGAATGTGAGCCCACTTTACTCTCCGCAAGCAGGGAGGGTGGATCTGGGTCTGTCTGGATTTTAACATTTTCAAATATGATCTAGTTTTTCTATAGATGTCTCATGCCTCCAGGTCCAACCAGGTCCTAAAAAGCTACATGCCTTAGAAAGAAATATCTTTTAGTCTCTGATGCCAAACTACCTGCAGCCTCTGATGCACAAATAACATCAGAGCTCTGCTAGACTTAGTAGATAAGTTTGGGTCTCTGGATAAAAGAAAACAAAAGGTGCTATGAAGTTAGATTGTTAAGGTTTATTAGATCTTCTCTGATGAGTTCTCTTGGCATCCTCAAGCAATCTCTTAAAGGTGTGCCCAGAAAAGATGCCCTGTTTGTTCAGAATCAGATGCTGGCAGCCTCCTCTGATGGCTCAGTCAGCAACAGAGAGAATTAAGTGGCACTCAGGAGACATGAGCAGGGAAGTTTGTACCTCAGCCTTCAGAATCCTTGTTCCTACTGTCTGTCCTGGACACAGACCTGTCCCTCCTGCACACCTCCAGCAGTGCTTAGGAGAGAACTGTTTGGGTTATGGTCACTGTTGGATCAGGGTTGGTGTGGTTGTGTTAATGTATTAACCCTGGGTCAAGCACATCTGGTTGTAAGTCAAATGGCTACAAATTGGATTATTTTCAATCTTATCAGCCATAAGGGTGGATTTTTGTGCTTGAGACATCTCTCCATCACAACAGCTTTGCAGTGCTAGCTGGCCATGGAGGCACAGTGGTGTAAAGCTGGTGCAAAGCTGGTGTTGCAACCTGAGAGATGTGAGTCTTTCTGCTAACTGTTGTCTTTATTACTGTGAGACTCTGCTGGTAGTCATCATGTGAAAAGGTACAATAATCAACACAATATTGGGGTAACACAACATTTTCATGGATTAGAAATTTGGTTTTCAACTTTTGGTTCCATTTTACTCTGCCCTCTGACTTGCCAGTGTAGAGGGATGTAAGGAAGTGTCTTTTGGAAAATACGTGGACATGTCAATAGGTAACTAATGGCTGCAGGTAAGCTTTCAGGTTTTAAATTTATGTATTTATTCCATTAAAAATGAAATGATTCTACAGAGGGGGGAGTCATTGTGCATCAATAGCACCATTACTGAATGGATGGAACATACTGGATATGGATGAAATTCTGGAACTGTCTTACATGCCATCTCATTCATTCATCCCTGCTTCTAATTCCAGCAGACAAACAATGCTTTACAGAGCTGACCTCATCTAAGATATAGCTTATTTCCTCTTGATAAATTTTATTCCCTCTATATTCTCTTTTTTTCCCACTTCCCTTCTCTTTTTGCAAGCACAAGAATCTAAATCTCTCAAACACTCTTCTGCATAAATCCTTCCACCTCAATTGTTGCTTTAATTATCCAAGTAGAATTTTAATGTGTTTAAATATATTTTCAGGAGGGTTGGCAAAGACAAGGTTCTAAGAGATTTAGGTGTTAGAGATTTTGCTGATATTTCTAGAAGGCTGCAAAAACTGTGAGAATGGTAGAAGCACAGCTGAATGTTTTTGAGCCCAGGAAAATACACTGAGTATATTCCTGCACACAGAGATTAAAAATTGAGCCCATGTAGAGTGTGTAGATTGGTCTTTGTTTTGTCTGTGAGCTGTGATTCACCAGTTTGGCATTCTGTTGAGTAGCCAGGCATCATTGTGGACCTTTGATGTATTCTCCATTAAAATGCATGTGCTGTACTTCTGGAGGATTGATGAGAGGTGGAAAAATTGAAGATGTAGTAGAAAGAAAACAGAGTAAGAACAAATTCTCATAGGCTATATAGGCACAATTCATGTCAACATGTGAATAAATACTTCATGTACCTATGGCTAGACAAAAAATACTGAAAGACTTCAGTGCTCTGCTGCATTTTGTCTACAAAATTAGTACCATAGAAAATATTTCTAACTGAGAATGAGACACATTCTGAACTGATACTTTTGTGTCCAAAACATTTGGACATCTGTGATTATGGATTCTGTTCTTAACTCTGCCAGAGGCTTCTTTTAAGATTTTAAAAGAATCTTGCAAAAAACTGCCCCTGTTTCTCATCTGTATTGGTACAATGAGAATAAAATATGAATCTGATTAGGATGTTTTGAATTATAATTTGTGAAATGCTTTGAGGTCCTCTAAAAAAAGTCTTAAAGACATAAAAAGAAGTATTATCTTATAAAGATTTAGCAAATAAATAGCCATTAGGCCTAAATACTCTGACACTAAGGATAAACTGGTTTATGACAGATACTTTCACCTGTTTAGCATAACTGCTATGAGAACTAGAAAAAAAGAAAAAAGCTTGAAATTGAGAAAGCACAGGAATAATTTGTAGTTTAGTATGAGTATTATTTTAAATCCTGACCTCTAGATGAGATCTTCCATTGGATAGATACATGGTTTTATATAGTAATATACAGAAATAATTGAGGAAGAGAGGATTCAGAACTATGTGACTGAAAGCATGAAAGGCTCCCAAAGTGTGAATCCAAACTCTTATACAAGATGTTAATATTACAGAATCTGGACTTTTATTAGAAAGAAAGAAATAACCCATGTAAAAATGCTGTCCTCTTCCTCCAGCATCACCTTTTCTATATGGAAACTAGATGGAAAGATTTTGTTTTGGTTTTGATTTTGGTTTGTTTTTTTTTTTTAACTAGCAGGAATATGAGGGGTAATTCTGGAATGAGTAATTGATATGCTGTACTATAAAGCTACTCAGCTTACACAGCTGCTCAGAGAAGCAGGGCAGTCCCTTTTTCTTCGCTATTGGTACAATCTCAGGGCTGCCACAGCATCAGCTGCTCATTTTTGCAGGACTCTGTGGGTAACCTGGACCAAAAAGCACACAAAATTAAAAATGGATCTGTTTTGAGATGTGCACTTCCCTAAGGTGCTCCTGTAAGACATCTAGTTTCATAACATAAGCCCTCTCTAACCCAGCCATTAAATTATCATATTCAATTATCATATAAGCCTTTTTCTGCTAATTATTAGGTCATTAAATGGGTTCTCCATCTTGCAAACCTAAGGAAGGGGCTATGGGAACCACTATAGGAGATAACTCAGAGAACCTTAAGAATCCTTTAGCAGGTGCACTGTGTGTATCCACTCTTATGTAAACACTATGGAGCCAGTTTTATTAAATGGTGTTTGAGAATATTCTGCATTTGTTACATTTCAGTGGGGTAACCACCGAGGCTGCCCTGCTCTTGCAGTAAGAATTCTATCATGTTGGTTCAAATGTGGGTTGTTAACAATTCTATTTTATTTGCATTTTTCATTGATTTTACAGGATTTCTGCTGCTCCTGTTAGATACTTTTGCATTCTACGGGGTTTTTTCAGTCTACTCTAGAGCATCTGAAATGCATACTCATAGGATGAAACAGGGGAGGGGGTACTGCTAAGTGCTCTCAGCTGTTGCAGGTGGGTCGTGTGGCCTAATCTTACAGGACCATAGAATGAAAGACTTTTGAAATAGGGAACTCAGCTGCAGTCTATTCCCTGGTGGCAAACTGGTATGTTCCTGTTAGTGGTTTTCACCTTCTGACCAGGATGTCTAAAAACTAGAAAGAAATAGAAGAGAAGGGAGTTTAACAGGCTCATATTGGAGAAATGCTTTACAAGAATGATGAGCTTGTTTGATTTGTACATAATAAGCACCAGGTGCCACACCATATGTGTAAGCTGTGTTACTCACCATCCTGAGTTTCAGGAAAATTGTTGTGCCTGGCCTCTTGTTTCCCTGTATCAATTTATACTAAACTTCAAATGGGTGACAAAACCTTCTAAGTGTTTCAAATTCACTCATTACCACTGCCCAGAAGAAGGACTTGTGTAAACAGGTAATAATGCATTCAAAGTAAAATACCTAGTACTTGTGGAGCTCTTGAAATCTCCAGATGTATATTTTATTTGGTTTAAAGGCATTATATGAATGATATAATCTACTATATGAATATCAAATTATGTTTGGGGAAATATTGGAATTTTATATATTTTAGAACATCTTGCTTGGCATCTAAATGCAAAACAACTTCATTTTTACTGGGATGACATGGTCATGAATAGGAGATATCGAGCAATAGAATAGATAATGACCCATATGTAACAGTTGCCTTTAGATATACAGCCATGTTTACAGAGATTATGGGAAGGCTTCATGCGCTTCAGTGCAATTTACTAAATACAATGTGGGATGAAATTGCTGTTGTTGGCGCACAGGACAGCTTTAGAAATGAGTAGCTTGGGGGAGGAAAGCCTTATGTATTCACCTGAAACAAAAAGCATTAGTAAATTTATATGACTGCTCTCTTGAAATAATTTACAAAATAGCAATACCTTTGACAGTGAATTCCAGTTAATTGCTTTACAATAAGAGAACACTTGTTTTTTCAGGAACAACTCCCCTGTGGACCTTCCCTAATGAAGTCTTACAGATTTCTGTCCAATTTCTTAACATGTTCTGTGTCAGCAACTTTATTTCTCCTCATCAAGTCTTTTCCGTGGCAGTACCTCAGAGTCTTTTCCATGTTCCAGCCCTGTCTTCTGATGAAGTTGTTGAATTTAGTGTTTTGTAATCTCTCCTCAAGAGCTAATAAGCAAAGAGGGGCAATATGCCTGATAGTCCAGGGATAAGCCTGTCCTCAGTGTGAGCAGCCAGCAGTAATGCTGTGAGAATGTACAGGGACAAAGTCCTCTGAGCAGCTCCTAATGGGGACAGTATCTGGCTCTGGCTTTTGTGAAATCTTTAGCAACAATCTCTCTGATAATACTGGCTGTCTGTCGAGGGGAACTGGCCAGCAGATTCAAAGGAACAGACAGAGGCACAAGCACAAAAGACTCATTTCTTCAGGAAAGCAGGCTAAAAATAATTTGGCCTTTAAATATCTGCAATATGTTACAAATGCATGGTATGTTACCACACAATTCCCTTTCCTCTATCCCTGGAAAAATCTATTTGTGTATATACACATTTATTTTTTTATTTATTTATTAAGTATGGTGAAGTATTCAAGGGTCTCTCTGTAATTTTATCCAAAGCATCATTGCATGATGAATTTAAAATAAAATGAATGTAACTTAACTGTAAAAAGCTTGCAATTAATTTATGAAATATCTGCTGAAAGGGAAGAACACATCTTCCAGAGGAAGTTGTGAACACTTAATGGTGAGAACTAATAGGATTGGCCCAGCATAGTTGCAACTAATAGTGCGCAGTGGGATTTTCAAAAGCACTAAGGGAAAAATACTTTAATAGAACTCCCATACTTAATCTTCTCATTGTTGCTAAGCTCCCTTGATATGAACTTCTAACTCATGTTAGGAAATACTCTCCTTGCTAGACTTGTGTCTTCAGCTTATGAAATTGGAAATTCAGTTCTGTAAAGCATTGTTGTTTTTCATGACACCTTCCATATGTTGTCCTGTTCTATAAATCATCATAAGCCTACCTTAGGTAGACATACAGATATATGAAAATCAAACCAGAGTAATTCTTTGTTGCATTGAAAAACTGAGGTATTTATGCAGCCCTAGTGGAGTAGGTGGTAGAATTTGGATGAGCAGGAAAAGCAGTATGTTTTGGCATTTCTGTGAGAGTGGACCCATGTGAGATGTGGTGGCAGTTCTCTACAGTACTCGTGATTACTGGGAAAGCAGCAGGGTCCTGAGCTTACGTAAGCGCACTATTTCATGACAATTTAGCTAGTTTCCATGGAGATAATTATGTTGTCACAAACTAAGGGTGAAGATTTCAAGTGCAAGATAAATAGGAGGAGCACATGGACTTCCAGGCAATAAAGATGTTCTTCTTTCGCTCTGTAGTAACAAAAGGCAACTGTAATCACAGCAGTGAGAGAGTGAGCTGTCTTTGCGATAAACACTGTTAGCATTCAGTATATCAACACCCTGTATTTCATACTATGCCTCTCAATACCTTTTTCTTTATGATCATGCTTTCAGTGGATAATAGTTTTCACCAGTTACACTAGAATGGGGCCAACCCTTTAACTGGAATAAATCAGCCCAGCTGGACTGCAGTCAATGAAACTGTGCTAAATTAAAGCTGAATTAAGCTGTGCAGAATTAAACCATTTGGGAATTTGACTTCACATTGTTCACCTCCCCTGCCAAGTGATCAGGTCAATAATATAAACAACAGAAGACAGATATCTGATGGATTTTTCTGTAAGTAGATGTTCCCTTCAACCCTCCAGGTTATTCAAGACAGTAGTTTGGTCAAGCTTCTGGCTTATCTGTTGCCCAACCAGTTCCTTGCTGAGGGTGCTGGGAATTCCTGTGTTTTAATCACCATTCTGGTTAATTAGTACGGTAGCATTTGGTTTTTCTTATTCCTCTTTCTCCCCCACAGCCTCCAGCCATAGGTTTATGTAAGTTAATGACGAATGCTGCTTAAAGAGATGGACCCGTCATGTTTCCTAAGATTGTTTACATTGCTGGTCTGTGAAAGTCTTGATTGAAACTGCTCTCAATTTTTTATCTGTCAGCATCATTGGAAAAGAGTCTGGATAAAGCCCGAGTGCAGGCATCTATACACACTGGAAAATAAACTGCAGGTGAGTCAGAGCGTGTTTGTCATCTCTAGAGCCACATCCATATGTTACAGATTTGTTAGCTATTGGTTGTGCTGTTAACTTGTTGGCCTTGTAAATCACATCTAACATCAAAATAACAAGGAGTATCCTGTTTGAATGGGCAATATGCTCAGTTTTTTTAAATTTAGAAGCTACTCAACACCATTACATGCAAAATACTTGATATGTGTTGTTGATTGGGGTTCTAAATGTTAACAGTACAGTTGGGTTGCCTGAGCACAGGCATTCAGTGTCAGCCTGCCCTAGGGCTGTCAGAGCTGATATTGGGTTTAGGAAGACCTTCTTCTGCTGGGTGTTTAGGAAAGATAGAAAAGAAGGTTGTAATGTAAAGATGCTCTTCTCAGTGGGTGATTATTTGTACACATATGACCTACATTGTACTCATAATTTTCTGTATAATGCTTACTTATGCATTAAATACATTAATTATAAGTAATTATTAGAATGTATGATTGTATTTTTCAGTAAGGAGAGACATATGCATTGCATAGGTAGCAGACTGTATACTTACATTATTAATATATGTTGAAACTCTGCCTTTTATTTATTAATCCAATGGCACTGCCTCAGTCGTGTTCTTTGTTTGGCACTGACAAAAGCTTTTGTAACTTTAAACATCTGAGAGTTCTAGTTTTCTGTCTGTGGTTTCATGTTGCTTGAGTGAGAAGGGTGCCCTGGCAGTGCTGCTCTGGGAGCCGTGGGGGGCTGCTCCTCTCCCCAGCCCGGCCGGGAGCCTGGTCTGGGTGAGCTGTGTCCACAGTGCCTTTCTCCTGCAGATCAGAAGTCCTCCCCCATTCGTGTTATTCTCTCCTTCTGCCACCTGCTTTTAATCTGTGAGTGAGGCTTATTGCTCTTGTTGATCTCATCTGCTTATTTTGTCTTATTATCTTCTAAAGTGTATGGTAATTAGAATGAGAGAATAGCGACTCAACAATACACAGAAAATTCCTTTGCATTCCCTTTTTTTCACTCAGTTGTTTTCTTATACCTTCTTTTCACTGTGCATATGTCTTCAGGTTTTTTGTTTGTTTGTTTTATTTATTCAATATTATGTCTTGATTTTAGCCTTTGGGTTGGGATCTTGTAGTTTCCATCCTACAATGATAGTTTTATTATTTTTTTCCTGAAAGAATACATATATAAGTGACTTTTCAGTTTTCTTTACAAACTAGACTAAAACAGTGACTCAGAACCAAGCACTGAGCTTTCTGAATTATACTTGTCAACCAGTGCAGCAGAGGAATGTCATACCATTTAAAGCAATTCAAGTTTTCTGTCCAGAAGTTAGTTATGCTGTAAAACTGAACTTGGGAATATTCAAGAACATAAGAACTGTGTGAATTTTTGAATAGCATGTTTCTAAAAATATTGGTTCTTTTTCTGTGGTGAGATTTTAGGATACACATTTCCAAAGTTACCAGCTAATCTGGCAGGGGGAGGGTGTTACTGAAACCTGGTCTTCTACAAATCATAGGTACTGAACATTATAGGTACTGAACATTAAAGGAACTGAACATTAAGGCTTCCCCCTGCAGAAACCCACAGTATCTTATCATTTTGAATTTCCAGTGGGGTTTTCAGTGTTTGCCATGCAAGAAAAGAACAAAGGTCTCAGCTGGATTTCTTTGTGTTTAGATTTGAACTTGAAGTCAGGCATATCCCATAGAGACACTTGCTCATGTTAGGGTTACATGCATTGCTCGATCTGTTAATGAACCAGGATGGCAGCCCTGATGAGGCAGGTTCAAGTCATTGTTTATATGATGAAGCACCAGAATATGAATAACAGATGCACTCATTTTCTGCTTGCAGAACATGTGATTATGTCACAGAGTAGCACAACTCAAGGGCAGCCAGAAATGTCTTGCTAAAGAGGAAAGAAAGACTCAGTAAGTTGCATGGAGGAGGTCCATTAGCAGAGCTAAGGGGAAACCTGTGGTACATCAGCTCTTGCTCAGGCTTTGTATTTCAAAACATTATTTTTAGTACATAAACAGATATTGCATGAAAAATCTGTATATCCTAAAATAAACTTATTTCTCAGATTGCAGGAATCTGAGATTTTTATTCGTGTGTACCACAAAAGACAAGAGCCCAGGAGTGCTAAGCATCAGGACAAAGTTGTTGGACAGAGATGCACCCCCTCCCCTCTCTCCCCAAAGTAAAAGCAGAAGCAAATGTAGAAGCTATATTTTGTTCTTGAAAAAACACAAAGGACAGATTTTGTCATTCAATTCTGTGCCTTAGTGACTGTTTGGCATTCAAAGATGTGGTTTCTCATCCAAGTTTTGATGCTAATACTACAGCATCAGTTAAAACTCTTTGATGGTCGCTGTTGTGTCTGCCACAGTTAGGTAGGGATATTTATCAATCCTCCAAATTATTTTATCTTACTGAACAACACTGTGAGATGTAATAATTGAGTTATTCAATGATCTCTGGCTTGCATTTATACTGTCTACCAAAGGACTCCTAGGTCCTCAACACTTGTATTGAGAGAATTTCAAAAGGCTCAGGGGGGATGGCAATAACTCAGATTATATCAAAAGACGATTTCAGTGGCTGGGAGGCTGGGATAGTTGCAAAGTGCTTCAGTGTCCTCAGAGGTCAAATTAACCACAGTGTGTTGTATAGCTGCTGTTAGCTGGGTTGCAAATCAAATGCCGTTCCTTTGGTAGTGCTTCAGAATGGAACATTCTGTGAGAGTGTTCCTTGAAGCTTTCCAGTAAAGACAATGATTTAAAAAATAAATCTTTGTGATAGGGTTTAACCTTTCATGGCAAGAATGTGTTAATGGCAGTTCTTCCCCTTAACAACTTATTATGGAAAGATAAGCTTAGAAGCTGTTCTCTGCCTTTGCCACAGCTATTTTATTCATCAGTAAACATAAAAATTCAGTGGACTATGGAAAGTTTGGAGTGGAACTGGGGAGGAGAAGAGCAGCTTTAATGTCATACTTCAATCATTAGGATTATATTTTCCCTTGCCCATTATTTTTCTTAAAACAAGCAAAAAATAGTGTTAAACTGAGACTAAATAGGCAGCAATGTCAAGGCTTGTCACTCTTAGCAGCTCTAGCAGGGTTAGGCTTTCAGCTCCTGGTGCTGTTTACTCCCAGTCCTCTGCCTTCTCCATCCACACTGCTTTCACTGGAGACAAAAGGGCATTTTTTTCCTTTTTTAATTTTGGATGCTGAGGAATTGTGCCAGGTTGAGCTGGCAAAGAGCTAAGTGCCACAGCAGGGAGGAAGATTCATAAATGATGAAGACACAATCTCTTAAACTCCCTAGCTCACAGGTGTTTTGTTATTAATGAAGCTGAAAAAGATGCTCCAAATTATGTCTCCTCCTTGACATGAGAGCTCTGGCAGCTCTTTGTGACTGAAAGCTCCTGCTCTTGCAGGTGTGAGGGATAAACTTGCAAGCCAGAATGGGGAAACGAGAGAGAAAGAAAAACATTCACACACCCAGGGGATCCTAGGGACGGGAGAGAAAGAAAAAGAAAAAATCTCAGTCAGTGCATTGTGAAATGTATTCTGTCAATATATAGGAAAAGAGATAACTACAAACTTCATCTCCATGCATCTTATTTATCCCTCCAGCCCACATACACCTGGCAGCAAAGAGAATTGTAATCTGGTCTATAACCCTACACTGACATCCTTTCTAAATTCCTAAGCAGAGCAACCTAAAGGCTAAAAAGGATTTTTAAAGTTTTGCAAGCTCTTTCCAAAAACCAACAGTGATGACATCAAATCTTTGGAACCAAATGAAAAGGTTTATCTTTTCCAATTCTTCATCTATTGTCCCCTATGTGTTAAGACCTGACTTATGGAAAATAATAACATTATGCTGGGTTTTATTGTCTTGTTATGGAAGGATGAAGTTAATTTTTGCCTTTTATTGGCACCATCTGTTTCTTTTCTGGCAAGTATCTAAGACAGCATCAAATGGTAGTATCATACATACAAGTGGGCTAGTCCTGAGGTATTCAGGCTCTGCTGATCATCAGATGCTCAAGAATTCTGTTTTTCCTTCTTTTGCATAGTCTGAACAACAACAACAACAACAACAAAAGACACCTATCCTGGCCCCAAAAACCATTGGGAGGTTTAGCAAACAACTATCCATTAGAGATAATTAAATATTTAGATAATGTTTTTGGGAAGAGTATCACTAGATTCATCACTAGATTTCATTCACCTTTCTAAATCACTGGTGAGCAAAGCCCTCCCCTCTTCAAGCCTGGAATGTGCGCAGCCGGATGGTCAGGGTGACCTTCTAGGTCAGCCATGCAGGAGGATGTGCTACAGTTTCGAAGCTAATTAGAATTTCATTACTGACTTCATTTCCAGGCCCCACCTGACTTTTAGATACTTGTTTTGAGTATGTGGATTGAGTCATTATCTGCCAGTACCTACTTTAGGCTGTAAAGGGAGCCTAAAGAATGAAATTAAGCAAGATATTTCCCATTTAGTGTTATGTACAAAAACAATTCCAGGCATTTATATAGCAAAGGGATACAGGCTCATTTTACCATTTATTGCAGTCAAATAAAGACAAATTCAAAACTCCACTATTTCCTAAAGGCTTTTATAGAAATCCTGTATTTGCGGAGGTTTTGGGAATTTAGTTTGATGTCAAAGTTGAGCCTAAAGAGATCCTCAGTGATGATTAAAGGCCTAAAATTAGAAGCAGATGATAAATAAAGGTAATGGGAATTTAACCTCAGAACCCATTCTATACTGTAAATGGTATTCACAGTATTTTCCTTGGTTTGTGAGTCAATGTCAGGTGTCGACAATTCATAGTAATCAAAGACCTAATGCAAAGTTCAGGTTCAGAACAGAGCTACACCTGAGCATAAGAGAACACCAAGGCTGATGTATCCTGATGCTGAACAGGTAAGTTTACTTAGACCTAATGTAATGATTGATTTATTTTTTGGCTGGTTAGAGGTGG